CCGCTGGCCAGGGCGGGGGAGCTCCGCAGGGGCGTCCTGCGGACGGGCGGGGGCCGGGGGCCGCCGCGCTTCCCCGAGGGAGAGCCTGCCATCGGGCAGCGGCCCGCTCGCGGGGGCACCTGCGGCCCCCGGTGAGTCCGCGGCGCTGAGGGGCACCGGGCTGGGATGTCTGGCTCCGGAGCCGGACCCCGGACTCGGCGTGTGTAGTTCGTGTGGGCGCTCCGACACAATTAGGCGCTCGGGCTCAGCCCGCTCTTGTTCGTTCTTTCCGGAGATGTGCGGTACGCCAATGCAACTCGCTGCCACCGTTCCTCCTCCGAATTCATTCTGAAATACCTTTTCCCTTTCTTTCTTTTTTTTCTCCATCCTAGGTGGACTTTTCATGAGGAACACTGTTCAGGAGCACAGTGCGTTTCGATTTGCTGTGCAGTTATACAACACAAACCAAAATACCACAGAAAAGCCCTTCCATTTGAACTATCATGTAGATCACTTGGATTCTTCCAACAGCTTTTCAGTGACAAATGCTTGTAAGTAAACACGTTCCTTTAAAAAAAATATTTGTTATCTATCCTTACATTCAGTTTCTTCCTGGTAGCTTAGATTACTTGTTCATAGAATGTAGTGCAACAAATGTGTGTACTGACATGAGGGTTTCGTAGATTTGCAGCATTATATGCTTGAATAATACCTTAGGGAAAGTTCTCTCACCAGTTTTTTTTCACCCCTTTAGTTCTGTTTTCCAGAAAAACAACCATGTTATTTATATAGCAGCATTGTGTATCTGTGATCAGTGAATTGCCGCTGAAGCAACATCCCTTTCCTGTTGAGGCTACAACATAGCCATGTGAAACAACAAAATTTTCAGATAACACCATGTAGGAATAAAACAGAAACACCTGTTTACATGTGACTTTGAGGGGACAAAGCTAGAGGGGCTTATTTGCCTCCTCTGCCTTGAAACACTGGGTTGTGTTCCTACAGTGAAAGTCCTGTTAAAAGCTGAGGAGACTGTAAACTGGTAATGCCGTTAGAGCTGAGGGGAGAGAAAATGGAATCAGAACGCTTAGCGTTATGAGAAATAGCTCTGCACAATCAGCGCACATGTATCATTTGAACCTCTATTAACTGAAGAAGCAAGATAGAACTTTGAGTAGTGTTAATGTGGTGTTAAAATGCAAAATCTCTTTCCGAAAGACTGGTGCGTGATGTGCATTTAAAAAGATACTCCTTTACCAATAGTAATTCCTGAATATCTTTTACTCAGGTGTACAACTTCAGGTTGATACAGTTTTTATTGTAAATCTCTGAAAATGAATGGAATCTTCTTGTGAGGTAGTTGAATGCACTTTGCAATATACGGAAATATGTTTGTACACAATCTAAAGGACCTCTGAATGCAAGGTACTGACTTTGTGTTATGAGCAGGAATCCTGTTCATATACTCACAGTATAAAATATTCTAAGAGGAAGCATAGTACAAAACCAATGAAGTTTTGGAATACAGAAAACTAGTATTTCTTGCTTTAAAACAATTTGAATATCTTATTTTTCAAATTTTCTTTCTGTTGAGGATAGAATAGTTCTTATATTCCTATCCCACGCTGTATAGTCGAAAGGCTGGACAAGTAGTATTTTATTCTCCTGGGATTTGAAGTATTTTCTGAGAAAGTTGATGGTTGGAAAATATACAATAAGAAAATATTTGGAAAAATTTTTGGGTTGATATTCTAACATATCCCCCATGTGACTGCTTCTTGCTAGTGCAGTGTTACTCTTTTTAAAGGGCTTTGAGTTATGATCTTTAAAACTTTTGCAGGGGGATTAATTATGTAATATCCAATAAAAATAGTTGGAAAAAAGTGGTGAATAAAAGCATGTCTGTACTTTGCATTTTATTTTACTATTCCTACCCAGCCTTAACAGCTCTTCCAACAAACATCAGGCTATTAATCCTTAATCAGTGTAATCCCTTCAAAAGGCTGTGTCTCAAACATAGTTTCCTAAATATCAATTATATGGATTTAAACTAAATACATTAAACTGCTTGGGTGATTAATTATTAATTTTTCAAAAAGTTCTACCAACACTTCTTTAAAGATCCCACCAAGACAAGTGAACCACACACTTATTCAGGGGCAGTTAACATACTTTTCATCTTCTGACATCTAATGATTTTTGTCATTGCTTAGTGAAAGCTGTGGCAATTCCAGTAAGATGAGATGGTTTTCTGTAGTATAGGGCTGTATGTTCCAACTATTACCAGTGTAATAAAATTTGGAAAACTTAACTCTCTGGAGAAACTACAGACCAAAGAATACCAACCTACAGTAGCCTATTTAAACATAGAAGATGTGAAAAAAGAAACAGAAGAAAGAAAATGAAAAGGTGACCTTGTCCATAGCTGTGTCAACAATCTGGTCATATTGTTGGTAGGAAAAGAATATGGTGAGTCCAAATCACCAGTCATACAGGTCTCAGTAACTCGAAGAAAAGAAAAAAAAAAAAAAAACCCAAAAAACAGTCGCTCATTTTGGATCTGGAAACAGTTATCTTTGAAAGTCAGAATGCTCATACCTATCCATGCATTAGGATGAGCTAATAGCTCCTCATGCTACCTGGCTAAGGAGTAAAACATTCTGGCCTAAGTACCCTTAATCACATCTTCACTTCCCAGTGGAGTGGCAGATAATTTCAGGGTGGTGCCGTATTCACGAAGGAATTCTTTCCACAACATTTTTACTTCTCTTGGAGATAAGCATAAATCGTCTCTAGTGCTGTCACACAGCCCTTTGATCAATATTTGCAATTGGCAGGGATCCATAGGAGAGAAACCTGCAGTGACTCTGATTGCCTTCACTGGAGAGGGAGGCTGTGACTGATTTTGTGGTGGGATAGGCAAAGGAACTGAAGGGAAATCAGAGAAAGTAGCATGTGTGGCTTAAGCCTCATGCCTGTACTAGTCAGCATCCATAAAATAATACTTTTCATTCCTGTTTGATTTATATGATGGTGACTGTAGTAAGTGTGTGTGTGCAGGAATTGAGGGGGGCTCTGCTCAGGAAAGACTTATGTTCTTACTGTACAGCTGCACATCCTGCTTGGTGCAATCTGGTGCATTCTAGAGGCAGGAGGAAAAAAAATAAAAATCTCTTCTGAAGTATCCTCAGGAGCCAGAGATAAAAAGCCCACCTCTGGTAGGGCTGATCTGGCAATATCCCAACATGGGAACAAACTTCTTTGGAAGCAGAAGAAAATTCCTGCCCTAAGCCCCTCCTTCTCATTCCTTTTTCAGTTAAATGATGCATAATCCGATTTATGTACATGTATTCCCTGCTTCACTGCTAGCACCGAGTCCCTCTCTGTATTTAATTTACACACATGCATACAGCATTCATCCACTCTGTATTTATCTGCCCACCTATTTTTTTAGCTGCATGATATCTTAACAGAGAGCAAATGCAAACACAGATGAAAATTCTAGTGTGTTTAAAGGTGAATTGAAGTTTATCAGTTGGCTCTGGGGGGATTTATTACATTAAAATATACAGCTTTTTGCCATCAGAAAAAACATAAAGGAAGTTAACTTGACCTGTGAATGAATAAAATCAAGTAGAACATGAATTTTCTTCAAAAATGCTCACGTAGGGAGTGAGCTGTCTTTTTCAGAGTAATATGAATATAGCAACTCAAATGTATAAAGTAATCACTGAAGCGTCTTCATGCTTTTCTTATAACTTCTGATGAAGGATGTTAGTATTAATGTTGAATTATGTGTGCAGTTCTGTAGATCATATTCCCTAGAAGTAACCGGCGTATGTCTTTCTGCTCTGCACTTGTAGTGCACTATACTAACACTGCTCTAGCCTCTGCAGTGTCAGCTCATTAGCACACAGATCTCATATTCCCTCTCTGCACTGTCATTGCAAAAAATTGCTGTTGTACACCTTTACAGCCAACAAATGGCCACTTGTGTTATGTATGACTTTCAAGAAATGTTTAGAAAAGTAAACTCAACCTTATATATAGTCCCCATGGAATTTCTCAAAAGAAAGCATTAGTTTTCATTAAAATCTGTTGATCATGTAATGATAGTGGTACGATGTGTACGGGTGAAAGGGGCTGTGATTGCAGAATCTAATTAATCTACAGGCAGATTCCCTCTCTCGGCTAAACCTAGCCTATCGGCTGCAAATTCTTGTCCTGTTTATTTTCTCAGTGATTTCTAATATATCGTCTGAACAGAGAAGGCTTTTTATATTTTACCAAATGTTGATGTGTAGTGTTTTTTCTACAGGCACTCATTCTTTAAGAGACAAAAAAAGGAGGGAAGATACAGTGACATGCTTACTTTAAGTTGCTAAAATCCTGTAAGTGCTTATATGGACACTTTACCGAAGGGGTCTGATTTCAGACTTCCTTAGAAAATTTTGCTTTAGCATCATTGCAGTCCTTGGGTTTAATCTTTAAAATTCAGCTTGAAAGATTTTAATGGAAAAAGTGTCTGTTTGTTGTTGTGAGAACGTTGCAGAAAATGATACCACAGGGCTAGCAGCAGACAGTTTTTCCAGTGTAACTGTATTGCTCCCTTTCCCAAAGCACAGGTGCATATATATGTGCTCACATGCATACTCACACGCGCACACACACGCACTTTTTCCTTAGGTGCTGCTCAGCATTTCTTTTTGCCAGTGGGCAGAT